ATCTTTTGAATCAAGTTTAGACATCCATAAATAAGATAATAACAAAGTCATATCTTCCTTAAAAGTTCATAAAAAAGATAATGACATAGAAAAATCTTCCTTCATACCACATATATCACTCTTCCCTGAAGATATGACTTAGTGAAATAGGTTTCACTCTCATAAAATGTCACATTTATACTAATAAATGTTTTCCTATTAAAAGGATAAGAACATTTGAAATCTTTTTTAGTGATAAAGCACTTGATAAATACATATCTTAAAGCTCTAGGATCTAATGTTTTAATTGTTTTGTCAATCGTCTTGAACAAAAAATATACAATTAAACACTTTGGAATGAATTATAAAGTAGTAAACTCCTTATAGAAGATCTACATGAGGTTTAAAACCCAAAACTCTCAAAGATATTCAATTGATAAGGTATATTGTAGTAAAAATTGCGTCAACCCAATAGGATTTTAAAACATTTATTATGAATATAAAAGATCTTGCAACTTCTAAAAAATATCGATTCTTTTGTTCAACCACACCATTCTAATTTAGTGTATCTATACAACTTGTTTGGTGAACAATATCATGATCAACGGGACAACTCTGAAAGGTTCCATCCATATATTTTATACCATTATCATCTCTTAAAACTTGTATTTTAGTATTGAAATATATGCATATCATTTTATGAAATTATGGAAACTCAAGTGGTGCAGTTATAACAATCAATTAAGGTAACAAATCATTAAAAAAACTAGATAAGAAAACAATTTGACTCATAATGAATAGTTGCAAAAGGTGTAATACCTCTCTTATTAATAGGTGAACAAATAACACATGTGTGCTTTACAAATTCACATGCATCACATAATAAATTCTTCACATTGCAATATTTGGACAGAGTTGAAAGGATTCTATTGAAGAATATAAAAAAAAGATGTCTTATACAATTATATCATTCATATAACCATTGTTGAACAGTTATCAAAGAATCAAGTTTTAAAGCATGTTTAGCTATACTTGACCCCATCATATTAACAAAATCCATATTCTATAGATATAACTCATTTTTTCCACTCTACTATAGTTAATCACCTTCCTCATCTTCAAGTTCTTAAGCACACAATAGTTTGAAAAAAAATGAGACTTTACCATTAAAATCTTTTGTTTTTTTTACTAATAGATAGCAAATTATTAGAAAAATAAGGAACATGAGGAATTGAAGATAAAGGGCAACGTAGGAGTGCATTAAATTGAACCTTTTTCAGACATAGAACATATAGAATCATCTATATAAACTTTATCTTTATTTAAAGAAAGAAAATTTTTTAAAAAAAATGAAAACTATGTGATCATTTGTTCCTGAATCTATAACTTATGGACTAGAATAAATTATGGTGGAAATATTCAGAGATGTGATATTTATACTTGTATGAGCAAAATTGAATGATTAATTGGAAGGAGTTTTAAGCTTGGACATTAAATGGCCAAGGGTTCACAACTCCTCTTTGAAAGGAGTAAAAGAACTTTAGTCTCCACCTAAAACTATAATTTCAGTCACCTCAAATATATGAGCTTGTGATTGGGTAGGTCCAACCATTTTTCCTTTATGTCTCCCAGTAAGATGCCCTTGAAGTTTCTAACATGTTTCTCTAGTGTGTTTAATACACCCACAATAATCACATTTTAGTTGCTCTTTGTTTGAAACTCTTTAATCACTAAACTAAATTTGTCTTTTGTTATTCTATTTAGAAGAATGGATAACCATGGTTGATCTTTTCATAAGAGCTATTGGCCCAACGTTTGTTATATGGGTTGAGGAGAAAAGCTTAAGGGAATCAAACATTGTACTATCTATGTATCAGTATTTGCAACCCGAGTTATTAAGCTTGTAGAGATGTTTCAACACCTAATGCCCTAAAATCAACTAGTCTGGAAGTCATTAGCCAAAAGCTTGTTACATGGGTTAAAGATGCATTGTGTTTTAAGTTACATGTATTTATATTTAAAAAAAAAAAAGAAACAAAAATCCTAACATAAGAAAATTAACTTTAAACATTAGAACAAAAATTTTGTTTTCTTCTAAGTAAAGCACCATAACTATATGTTGATATATTGAGCACAAAAGAAAAGTTTATTAATATCTTGTTTAAGAGGTATTGAA